CCCCCCCCAATCTCTTTGTCTATGTCGCTCGACCCCCACCCCTTCCTAAATGGAGTTTCGTGCTCAGGGTGGTCTCTGGGGGAGGGAGGCGATTTGGCTGACTAACGTAACGAAGAAGAGCGTGTCAAAAAATGACAATGTTTTTGTGCATGTTCAGTACAGTGTGGTCACCCGATAAAACACCTTTCAACATGAGCACTGCCAGATGGATTATTAAAAGAATAATTTCTCATTCTACATTTAGATCGTGTATTGTGTTTCATTTTCTGTATTTAAGCTTGATTTTATTCAGATGAGGGAGTTCAGAACAGATTGTCATTTGCAATGCCGACTTGGCCAAAATATAATCATTAATTTACTAAAATTATAATTATTCATACAGTACAAGCTTTATGTGTTTTTCTTTCCGTGAATTGTTTGACATAGCATTCATTCACTCGCTTGCATAAAATGCTGCTTTATTCGAGGACAGTGTCCCCGTGACAAGAAACTAACCAAAGGCCACACGTCTCGCGAAATTGGCATGCCCTAAAGAATTTAAAAGGTTTCAAATGCTCACACTGAGGACTTTGAGGACCTGATCAGTGTGACGAGTTTCCATTATCCACATCAACTGTGGCGGAAAGCCAAGAGTGTCACTCCCCGCAATATTTCATCACAATATGTCATGAACTGTCATCACATTTTGCTCTTCAAAGCGACATTGTTCCGCTTTGGGAAACGAGCGTGGACAAAACGTTTATTTCAAGACTTAAAGAAATATATTCCAATAAACTTAGCCGTCCTTTGGCGCTGCTTCGTAAGAATACAAGTATTTTTTTGTGTAAATCACGACGTAATTAGGGTCACTACTTCTGACAACCCGCAGAGGGCGCAATGTATCCTTGCTTCCTTATTACCGAAAGAAGAAGAAGCTAAGCCTTCGCCAAGTTCTCGCGAGGTTAGGACGAACCACACACGGAAGTCAACCGTCCTCACCGTTCGTCTCCACGGGCTCATCTTGTGAAAACGCGTTTTATCAGCGTTTCAACAGACCGAAATGGGGAAAGCCGATTTTCTCTCGCCCAAGGCGATAAGTAACCGGATAAAATCCAAAGGTCTCCAGAAACTGCGGTGGTATTGTCAAATGTGTCAAAAACAATGCCGAGATGAGGTGAGTTGTGCCCCAACATCGAAGCTAGTTGTTGCGTCAAAAGATTGTTTTCAATTTCCCTGCTTGAGATGAGGTGAGTTGTGCCCCAACATCGAAGCTAGATGTTGCGTCAAAAGATTGTTTTCAATTCCCCAGCGTATGATGTGTGATCTCTCTCCTGCGTGTGCCACCAGAATGGCTTCAAGTGTCACTGCATGTCCGAGTCCCACCAGAGGCAGCTTCTGCTGGCCTCGGAGAGCCCACACAAGTTTATGGACTTCTTTTCCAAGTAAGTTTCTTGACCAGGAATATTCTTGAGGTATTCGGTGTAAAGAAAGTATTATAGCAAAAGGATAACGGGATAAAATAAGTGGGTCGTTGGGCATTTTTGATTGATTAAAATATGATATTGACAGACATAGCAGCTCAGCAACGTCATTTCTCAATGTTTAATTTTAACAAATCAAACGCATGTTCTGTTCTTGTTTTCCTGTGCAGCGAGTTCAAAAGTGGTTTTGTGGAGCTGCTGCGGCGGCGTTTTGGTGAGTTTTGGCCAACACGCGAGATCAGAATATTTTGCGTAATTTGTAGTTGTCCCAATCGGATCACATTTTTAGCTTTGGATTTTATTTTATTGTCAAAAGGTAACAAAAGATACAATCATCACATTTCCTGATTTTGTACGGTGTGAAAGTGAAATTGATTCATTGGCCATTTAAGATCTTTATGTTACAGCAGTTTTGTTTTCAATTTTAACGTGTTTATGTATATTTTTTTTTCAACCCCCCCAGCACCCACCCCCACCAAGACATGACGTATACTCTCGGCGTTCGCTTTCGTTTTTGTGCAGGGACAAAGCGCGTTCACAACAATATCGTGTACAATGAGTACATCAGTGACCGCGAACACATTCACATGAACGCCACGCGCTGGGAGACGCTCACCGACTTCACCAAGTGGCTCGGACGACAAGGTCGGCAAGTTAATGATGAATGTGAAATGTCTCGAATGGGAATATCGTCCCCAGTTAATGGTGTCAAACCAGGTCTTTGCAAGGTGGACGAGACGCCAAAAGGCTGGTACATCCAGTACATCGACCGCGACCCCGAGACCATCCGGCGGCAGGAGGAGCTGGCGAGGAGGAAGAAGCACGAGCTGGACGACGAGGAGCGCAGCGCCAAGTTCATTGAGGAGCAAGTCCGCAGAGGGCGCGGGGGCAAGGAGGAGGAAGTGAGTTCCAAGCAACATGAGCCACCCTGTTGACGGATGCCCCGGGAACATCACCGCTCATCTGACTTGTTTGGTTTTTTTCCCCCTTTCCCTTCCCTAGGAAGACCCAGTTTACACCGAGCTGAAGCGAGAGAGTGAAGAGGAAAAAGGTACATTTTCACACATTTGATGAATATACCTGGACGTTGTCCTAATTGCACTTCACGGGATTTCCTTCTCTCGCAGTTGCTTTCAATTTGGGGGCTGGTGCATCACTGGCTGGTCCTTCTACATCGAGGTACCATGACGCAAACACATCATCTACGTGTTTATGTCGATGTTCACTCACAAAACTGGGTGCGAAAATAATTCCTTGCTCTTGATAAGTTGATGTGGTTTGAAAGCACAGTGCCATATTTCTCATGTTCGCATACCTGTGATTTAAAAGTTTTGTGCCGCCAGGTGTCCCGATTGCATCACGTGATCCAACCCCTCTCCCCCCCCAAATCAAATTTTCAAGGTCACAGGGCAACAAAATAACCCTCTGCTACAACTTTTTTTTCCCACTAATTTTGCTCCGCTCGGCCCCCTTTGACTCGGCGTGCATCCTGAATCCCAATGATTTTTGCAGTCAAATGACAAGGGCACCGTCCTCGTTGTAGTTCCCTCCTGGCCACGAGTGCTCTTGCAAAGGCGTCGTCGACAAAGAGGAAAGAGCCGTCCTCCGCTTCCGACTCGCGGGACAAGAAGCGCAAGTCGGCCCTGGAGCAGATCATCGAGGTAGCGTCTCGCGCGACTCTTTGCGGGGAGGGCACATCCTGGCTGACGGTCAGCACCTTGTCCTTTAGATGGAGGAGAGGAAGAAACAGCAGCAGCAGCCGCTCAAGACCGACCATTGGCTGCAGCCCAACATCGTGGTCAAGGTGGTCACCAAGAGGCTGGGGGACAAGTACCACAGGAAGAAGGCTGTCGTCACGGTAACCGCACGCACGCTCTTACACGAGCAAGCCCCTTCACGCACACCTTGCGATGACCGACCGGCCCGCAGGAAATGCGAGATCCATTCACGGCGGTGGTGAAGATGATCGACTCCGGGGACAAACTCAAGCTGGACCAGAACCACGTGGAGACGGTGATACCTGCGCCGGGTACGCGCCGCCGTTTTGCATTCACCACCGGGAAATAGTCGACGTGTCCGAAACATGTCCGACGTGCCCGCAGGAAAACGTGTCATGATCGTCAACGGAAACTTCCGCGACACGGAGGCCGTGCTGGAGGGCATCGACGAGAAGAACTTCTGCGCTTCGCTCACGCTCGATTCCGTAAGTGTATTTCGGTCCGTAATGTTTATCGGCCCGGGCTATCACCCCCCCCCAAGCACTGTGTCCGCATGTCGCTCCGCCCCTTTCGGTACTGCCTTTCCCAGCACAATGTTGCTGAAAAGTTCCCGGCCAAAGGTGTTGATTCTCTTACGGCGAGAGGAACCAAGAAACTGAAACCATGTCTTGTCACCCTCAGGGTCCACAGAAAGGAAAGCGAGTGGACGTCGCCTACGAGGACTTCTCCAAACTGGCTTGAACATATGGGGTGGAGGGGGGGGGGAATTCCCCCCCTCCCTTCTCCTCCTTCTCTAAAGATCTCTACTATGTCAGAGTTCTTTACTCTCAAATCTTGACAGACGTTTCTTCATCTTGTAGCCACCGTTTTTTTTTTTTTTTTTTTTTTTTTAATCACAAACAAGTCAAGGCGACAAATTGTACAGATGATGTTTAGCTTTTCAACTCAATTCAATGTGGCAAATGATTGCACTCATGATTTCAACTCTAAAATTAAGGAACTCGCAAACAGGACATTCGTGGGGAAAAGTTGTGTTTTTGTTTTTTGTTTTTTCCTGGAACTTGTTGACGTCCCCTCTATTCCATTGAGAGAAAGCTGTCGAGGTCCGGGACGATGTAGGCGCTGTAGTGGCCGTCGATGAATCCTTTCCCGCTGTTGTGCACGAACCAGCAGAAGACGTCGGTGCCGCGTCGCTTGTCCCGTCTGTAGTCTTTCTGCCAGCCCCTGGCGGGCGCAACCAGCAGATGGCGCCGTTAAAAAGCCAAACTTTGAAAAGGGGTCTCAATGGTTTGGGTCGAAGAGCTACCTGGTGACGTGCAGCTTGTTGCCCTTCACCTCCATGGTGGCCTCCTTCTTTTGGGGGTCGGCGCCGTCGTGGATGTCGGAAATGCTCACTTCGGGCTCCTGTGAGAACTGACCTTCGGGGTCAGACGCACGCACACACTCTTTCGTGTTTTGGATCAACAACATATCGGTGCATTTGTTTCAACATTAACCTCAGCAGGTTTACAATAAATGCTGTGTTTTGCAAACAATATTCACTCTAAATTGATTGTGATGAAATACAGTGGTGCCTTGACGTGTTCGTTTAAGCACAGAGCTCGCTTTACTTGAATATCAAAGGAATCCCCCCCCCCAAAAAAAAAAAAAAAACACCACGCTGTCCTCATATTTTTTCAGCTGTAAGGGATTTTGTTTTTTTTTTTTAAGTGATAATTTATTGACTAGCACCCAACCTTAATTTGAAGCTTGTTTGGAATTCCAAATGTTGGCTCGCAAAACACAAGACGGCTCACAAGTGAAACAACTTTTGAAAGGGGGGGGCCCGCTTTACATCAGGGTGCCACTGTATCTCCACTGCCTCTCACCCATCGTGTGTCTTAATTCTTTTTTTTACACAGTCAACATGCCGCTTGATCCATAACCAGGAGCAACTGCAAAAAAGTTCCTCGACGACATGAGAGTACCTATGAGGCCGTGGACCAGCGGCGAGTACCGGTTGTCGTTTGGGAGGTAGACACCCAGGAAGTCCACGTTGACCGGGTGTTTCTTCCACACGCGGTGGAGAAGAACCATCACCCGGATGCCCTGGTTGATGGTGACGGTGACATGCGAGTCCTTTACGATGGAGATTCTCACCCTGGATCGGAGGGGGGGCAGTGATGACATGACGAGGCGTCCTCTCCCGGCGGTCATCTGCTTACCCGTTTTGGACGATGTCCGCCGTGGCGCCCCACGTGAAGCTGTGGTTGTTCTTGCCGTCAGTGAAGGCGATGCTGTCGGTGCCGACGGCGACGCTGATGCCGTCCGGCTGCGAGTGGACGGAGATGACCCCAAAGTAGGTGCTCTGCTTTTCTGTCCGCGCCACTTTGTTGCCGATTAACCGTCCGTTCACCGACACACCTGCATGGCCGCACAAAATCACTCTTGGGCGAGAGAAAGGGAGAGATGTGACTTGATGGAGCCGGTCTCGTACCCGTGCCTCTGTCAGACACCAGGTTGAGGATGTGACCGGGTTTGGAGTCGATGTTGAAGCAGACGTCCATGTTGCTTTGGGGCAGGTGCACGATGAAATGAGGGTCGTTGTCCACTGGGTGAGAAAAGATGTGTGCAGTCATGCAACTTCTTGTGTCAATAGTCATTCCACGCAATCCCACAGCAAATTTTCATCAGTGGTGGCTGTAGGTGACCCCAACCCTATTTTTGATGCTGATTAAGTATTGACTTTTTAATTTTTTTTAATTTTGGCCGATTTACAGATTTGACCACGCGTTGCAGTTGATAGCGATGATGTTTCAGGGGGGAAAAGAATCCACCTGAAAAGCAGTGTGTTGGAGAAAAAACAAGGTTGCAAACCGCAATGAGGGAGGGAAACATTTTGTGTACGTGCAGTACCTAAGTTGACCTGCTTTGGCAACGTCCAGTCCTCGGGGCCTTTTTCCACGTGGCTGGGCGGGGCCGGCGTGGTCATTTGGACCCAGGGCGGAGGTTGGTAGACGACCTTCACTGCAGGCAAAGTCTTCGTGCCTCCTCCCATTCCGCTTCCTACAAGCGCATGTTTTTTGTTTTTTTGTTTTTGGGGATGAATCGAATGAAAACGAGTCCCGGCGGCTTTGTGGCCGCACCCGAGCAGCAGCCTTGCTTGGGGTCCTTCGGGGAGTCGGCGAGCAGCCTCTCCTTGCTGTCCTCGCTCTCCACCAGCAGAGCCGTGAGCGGAGTGACAAACTGATGCTCCGTGGCCAAGGCCAGGATGCGCTGGGTGATCTTTCTCTTCTTGCTGGCGGTGGGCGCCAAAGACCTGACGAGTGGAAGCCGATGCCAAATGGCGATGAAGCGCTGGTCCATCACTCGGGTTTTTGTTTGATGTCGTGCGGGCGTTGGCGTTTACCTCTCACTCATCATCTGCTTGATGGTGATGTAGGCCCACAGCTGCCTGGCGAAGCCCGTGAAGGAGTGCTGCTGCTTGGCCAGTTCCATGTCCAGCTTGGAAGTGTCCACCTCCGTCTCCAAGGTGATGTCCATCAGGGCCTGCGGGATGAGAGGCGCGTCACGGAGAACAAGTCGCTCGGCGACGCCTTCTGGTAAAAGTGTGGCGCTCACGCCGGACGCGGTGGTGAAGCTGGTCAACGTGTCGCTCTCGGACGGTTGCACTTTGCCGGCCACCACCAGCTCGGAGCCCCCAAAGTATTTGTCGAACTGGTTTTGCGTCACGTCTGACACCGAGTCCTCCGGGAACTGGACGGCGATCCTCCGCAGAAGAGGATTGGATACCTGGCTGTAGAAGGCCTGCGGGCCACATCAGGAAAGTTCAGGCTCAGGAGATCCAAACCTTTCAGTTGTTTCTTTTGCTCCCTTCTGCCTCTCAAACTCAAATGGTACTCCAGGCGCCGCTGACCACAAATTAGTCTCGGAGGGCGCATAAGAGGGGTTCATCGTTTGCTTACGCCTCGCACGTTTGTCATGGCTTCTTGACGGCGGCCTACCCGTAGCTGCTCAGCCGCGTCGTGGTTGGCGAAGATGCGCTGGGCGATGCCGCGGTTGTCCATGGCGATGCGCTCCAAGAAATCGTAGTCCACGTCAAAGCCGATGCCCAGGGAGAACAATGAGAAGTCCTCCCTCATCACCTTCTTCACGTTCTTCTGAATGGTGCTCAGCTTGATCTCGCCTGCGGAGTCACCCATCTGAAGCGGCCGCCGGGCCAAATGACCGGCATTTGATCGGGCGGCACGAGACTCACCCACTGTCGGGTCCCCGTCCGACACCAGGATGATCATGGAGACCGATCGAGGGTCGATGAGCCCCTGATTGGATGCCCTCACCAGGATCTGCACCGCTTTCATCAGCGCCTCGTTGATGTTGGTGCCTGCGGGTAGAATGTCAGCGACGGGCAACCTCAAGGCAGCTTTCCGATCCACCTTCATCTCCCGCTACCTCCGACGGGTTTGATGTTCTGGATGTATTTCTTGGCGTCTGCAATTTGGATGGAGGATCCTGGGACCAGGTCTTCGCTCCAGCAACGCACGTTGTGGTTGAAGTCGATGATGCTGAACTGGTCATCGGTCGTCAGGTCATCCAAGATGGCCTGCATCGCCTCCACCGTCTGCCAGAGAGGACCGAAAGTCAAACGCCCACCAATGCTGACGACGGCGACGGCGTACCTGTTTCATCTTCACCCCCCACATGGACCCGCTGACGTCGATGACAAACACAATGTTTTTCGGAAGCGGAGACATGTTGGACGGGGCGAAAAAGTGGACAAAGTGGCCATCTGAGACCTGGCGGGCCGGATTGGTCTCGATCAGTCCCGGTTGGTCCAAGCGTGCGCAACAAATGAGTGTCAGAGTGCCGGGTACCTGCAGCTCGCCGGCGTTGCTGTCCCGCTTCACATCGTATGTGACGCTCAAGGCGCCGTCGATGGCACTTTCCGTGCAGTTGTCGCATTTCCTCTGCTGCCGCAGCGTGGGCTTGAAGACCACGTGAGCCTGAGGTAAGCGGGGGGGGGGGGGGGGGGCGTCACCCGGTGAGGAGTTTTCCCATTGCAAAGCAAAAACATTTCTGTGGGCTCAGTCTTGCCTTCTCTGCGCTCTGTGTCACTGTGACCAGCTGATCGAGCTTGTCGCCGAGATCGCTTGACGTTTTCAGCTTGGCGATTCCCTTCGGCTCAAAGATGTAAACGTCCACCTGCAGACGGACATCGGGATTGGACGAAGACCTCAGGGTTCCTGCATGCGGCTCTCCTGACGTTGGTACCTGGAACTGAGGCACCAATCTGCCGGGTTGCAGGTGCAGCGAGTGCTCGTAGAGTCCCAGCTTCCTCTGCATCATCTCCTGGTAATGCAGCTCAAACTCGATGTGGCTTCCGGGGGGGACGTGCACCTCCGTCTTGAAGGTCTCCAGTTCCTGGGAGTTCGATCTGTCGCGCGGAAACATCCGGGCCTCACTGGCTCATCAAACTCATCTTCTGCCCTCATTTCAGCTCTCTGCAAGATTTCCCTCAGCGCATCCCGAAGTCTTCCCTCTTTACCTCCTGCCTGGCGCCATCATCATCGTCATCATCATCCAACATCCTCCCGCTACGTGTCTTCTTTCCCTCCTGCGCCCGTGAGCAAACCGTGGGAATCTGACCTCTCGATCTGACGCGCCCGAGCTTTCAGTCTGTGCCACCCCTCTGATGAGCTCATTTCCGATGGCGTCCACCTGTCTCAAACCCTCAGCATCTTCAACTCTGCCACCCCCAGCTCCGTCCACTGTCTAGCGGTCATCGCAACTGTCTGCAAATCCTACAACACAAGTGGTCCTGTCCTGTCATGTCCTGTCCTCTCCTCTCTTCTTCGCTCCCCCTGGCTCTGAAACGTCGACGACAAGTAATTGAACCGCTGTCCCTCCTCCACCATTGCACCGGTCCCTCTCTCCTCGGTTTACCCCTTCCACTGTCATTTCTCACGCCCGCCTGAAATTTGAGACTTGGGTTCAACCCACGCGGCATTTACCTGACGATGCCGGCGGCTTTTCCTTTGGCTCGTGCCTGAGCGTACAGGTTCCTCGCCACCGTCTTCTCCTTCACCGAGCCCGTGAAGGTGATGCCGTTGACGTTCCTGAGGCACAAAAAGCAACAGATGTCAAGTCCGCACACTTCCGGACGATGCATCGCCGTTCTGCTGCGCGGCCTCCTCACATGGTGAAGTTGGTAATGAAGGCTCGCTTGGGAATCTGCACGTTGAAGCCAATGGTCTGGGCCTTGGAGCCCGAGTTGACCACCGAGCTCCGGACGGTGGTGTGGGCGAACCGAGACGTGATCCGGCTCTCGACCTTGTAGCTCTTGACGGTGATGTCATCTCCACGGATGGCCTGGGCAGGGAGGCAAAGTTTGAGACGGCTGCTGTGAAAGGAGATGCCGCCCTGATGGATAACTTGGCTTGGGGGGGGGCTCGAGTGGTCTGAATGGCGGCAGTAGGGTTCGAGTACGCGCGCCCTGGGGTCACTGATTTCCCCGCTAGCCCCTGGTTTGACTTGAGCCGCAACTGAGACTGGCATCATAAAGCTAGCTCAACCTGGACTCCCTGGAACCGTCGTGGGACTGATGCGGAACCGGGTCAATAACCTGCCAGTCACGGACGGGAATGTCCCCAAACGGCAAATTATTGATCTTGGGAGATAAGGTCGAACTCTTGTCACAGTGGTGAGAGCTGAAAACAACAAGCAAAGTGGAGGGTCATACCTCAAAGTCTTCCTGCTCCTCGCTGGTCAATATCGCTCTCTAAAACACACAAACAGGTCACCTGGTGCTTTTTTTTTTTTTTTTTGCTGAAGTCATGCAGTTACTGTGATTTATGCTTTATGTGAGACAGGTAGAAATACTGTCTGGATGGTTCTTAGTGGATTGCGACATCTGAAGTGTTTGCCTTTGAATCGTTTTGGGGGCAAACGCCGGTTCAAACGATACAGGGACGCCACAAATGTCTGCCGAAGACACCGTGATCCATACGCCTTCGATTATCCAGACCAAAGAATATCCCACCTTGTGTCTGTCGCCGCCATGCCGAGGATCCGACTGTTGAGAGAAGGTTGGCGACTGGTTGCTCACGAAAAGTCAAGAGACGTCAGCATCTGTCAAATTGGCACCTCCTTCAAGCCCACTCACCTCCTCGTCCTCCCATTCTCCGTCGATCACAAACTCAAAGCAGCGGCTCTCCTGGAGGACCGAGAGCCCGACGAGGAGAAGCAGCAGCAGCAGCCTCGGCTTCATGGTCTTAGCGCTGTGCGGTCGTCCGACGAGCGAGCGTTGGCTGTTTGGGGCAGAATCCTTTGCAAACGGTTGAAATGCAAGCGAGCGACTGACTCGCGGATCAATATTTGGAAGCAGATGGGAAGCAAACTTTGAAGCTTGACCCGCGCATTGGGCCCCGAGTAAACAGCCTTGTACAAGCCCGGTCACAGTTTGCTTTTCGAGATGTGCAACGCTGACGTTGCTCCCTTGTCTCATTTATGACGAATGAACCCCAACCCAAAGAGACACGTTTGATACGTCACAATTGAACATCGACAAAGTTTGAATTTGCATTTGCCAGGCGACGCGACGAAGTGGTCCGACGTTCAAGAACAGAGTGCGACATGGCGATATTTGCCAGACGCTGCAGCAGCGTGATGAACTTTGACCTAAAAGCATTGAAAGGCCCATTCGGAATCCTTTTGCTGTCATTTTTAAATTTTTTATTTTACAGCTCAAAAACCGTCGTGAATAATTGGATTTCATTCACACTTATTGACCCTTGCAGTAACTTTTGTTTTGTCCACAAGGGAGTGCCAGATACGCCAAAGAGGGACGCGACAGCGGAAATTCTGACGTTGGTGAGCACAAACGAGTGCCACTCACTGAGCTCAGACCCTCTCCTCCTTTTTCTTCCTCCTCCTCCTAGTCCAGTGGGTGTGCGCAGGCTGCAGGATCGAACCTGCTCACAAACTGCGACACGAGCAGGGCGAGGAAGATGAAAATGATGCTGCCGCTGGCGTTTCTGCTCCTGTGCGCCTCTTGTTGCACGCTTGGCCAAGTGGACTATTTCCAAAACGAAGACTATGTGGATGCCCTCTTGGAGGACTTGGATTTGGACATGGTGAGTGTTTCTTTCGATTGTTCCATTTTTTTTTTTTTTTTTTTTGGAACCCAATTCACTTAACCTGTTCCTGCAGGCACCTCGCAGAGTTCCGCGACAGCTGAAAAACACCCTCATGAAGGTAGAATACACTTCTTTTAACTAGGCCATATGTTCTTTATTTGTTTTATTACTATTAGTGACCCACATTTTGGGGTGGGGGGGGCAGTGTACGTCAATTAGAAACGCATTACAAGTTTGCCTCTTTTGGGTGTGACCGCGTGCAGGAGAAGGCGCCAAGTGCACAGATGTTCTTTGAGCACAAGAACTGATGTCAGCTCATGGGATTTGAAATGCCTTTTCCGTCTGCTCACTTCTGATCATCCAAAAGACATGGGGCGGGATGCACGAGTGCTTCTTGCTTGAGTTTGAGGAGTCGTTTTTTGTTTTGTTTTGTTTTTTTGTGCAATGACCTGATTTCTCGGCCCAGGAGACGAGGCCTCACATCCAGGAGCTGTCCATCAACACCAGCGTCATCTCCCGTTACGCTTTCACGACAGTGCGCTGCGTCATGCTCAACCGGCATGCCGCCGCCGGCCAGGGCGTTTTCCACTTCCCCGTGCCGGCCGGCGCCTTTGTCTCCAACTTCACCATGTAAGTTTAAGTTTGGGGATATCGGGCGAAAAGGTCAAATGGAACCACGATGCACGAGAACCTCGACAAGTGTGCATCAAGTCCCTGTAGAAAGAAAATCAAAAAGCTCGTGTAAATGTGACACACCGGCATTGTTCACCGCCCGGCCAAATTAAAATGAGTACAGATCAATTGCTGCCGAGGCTTCGAAACGGTGCAAAATCCCCTGAATGCAGAGTGCGGGTTTTCCTGGCGCCACAGAGACATCAAAGTGTGCACAACGGCTCGAGGCAGCGTCCCGCAGCCCTCGACATGTCGTAAACCTGCGTCAAGGGGGAATTGGGGCTCTCGTACGAGGAAACGCAGTTCAAGCGCGAGCGCGACTCCTCTCACGTTTGCCCTTCCAAACCCAGGATCGTGGCAGGGCGTGTCTACCCGAGCCAGCTGGGGCCCAAGGAGAGGCCATGGGTCAAGCAGCCAGACGGCAAAGTCTGGGACAAAGAGTCCGCTGACACAAGGTGAGCTGTGTGTGTGAACACGTCTGCTCAATCATTCCTGCTCTCGTCTTTGGCCGCTGCCCCCTAATTGCACCTTTTGAGCCACTTCCTCCACATAGAACAACTTCAATGGCTATTTTGTGTGCGTGCGTGTGCTTGTGAGCCAAAAGAAATGCACCGAATTTGAGATGGAAGAAATGACAGAGATTAGGAGGAGGATGAAGGGCGGGCAAAAAGTGGAAGAATTGACATGAGGCACAGCCATGATGACATCACCTCCTATTCTGTTGAAGTCATCACTTTGCCGCCGCCTCCTCCGTTGTTCATGGTCCTTCCTTATTTTTGTGTGTTCGTGTGTGGAGTGCATCCGTCGATGTGCAGCGGGGGGAAAAAAAAAATCTCCGAGCTGATTTGATTTTGGTGATGACGCTGACTCCAAATTCTCCAGATTCTCCATGGCTCTGTGTTACCCCTTTGCTTTTTTTCCATCTCCCCGCCAGGTCCGAGTCAGGGCAGTTCCGGATGGCGGCCAGCATTCCGGGCGGCAAGCGGGCCGTCTTCCTGCTCGAGTACGAGGAGCTGCTCCAGCGCCGGCTGGGTCGCTACGAGCATGTGACCGGCCTGCGGCCGCTGCAGCTGGTTAGCCGCCTGCGGGTGGAGGTCACCATCGTGGACCACTTGCCCATCACCGTCCTCGAAGTGCTTCCTCTCCGCCGTGGCGGCGGGACCAACCCAGCCAGGCCTCCAGGTTTGTTGCAGTCAAAGTGAACCCCCTCCTCCATTCCAGTTCGTTTGTGCCCTCAACCTGTGGGTTTTTTTTTCAAGCGAGCTTTGTTTTTTAATGGGTTTGCCCAATTTACAATTCAAATGGCATGAGAACACCCCAAACACGCTCCCTGTCTTTGTGTTCCAGCCAAGATGGAGCCCCCTGTCACCACGACAGTCCAAAGGGAAAAGAACGCCTGCAAGGTCACCTTCAGCCCCAACATCATGCAGCAGGCCAAGATCGCCACCAACGGCATCCTGGGAGATTTTGTGATCCGCTACGACCTCCAGAGGGACACGGGAATCGGAGACGTGCAGGTAAGGCTTTTTCTTCTTCTCCGTCTTCTTCTTCTCGGCTCCAGTTTTGAGAGGTCTCTCGCTGCGTCTCATTGACAGGTTCAAAACGGCCACTTTGTCCACTATTTTGCGCCCAAAGACCTCCCGGTGGTGCCCAAGAACGTCGTGTTTGTAATTGACACCAGCGCCTCCATGCTGGGCACCAAGATGAGACAGGTGGGACTCTTGAGAAGCTTTGGAGTGTGCCTCGTCGCTCATTTGCACATGCTACATGGCTCTTGGTTATTTCTGGACTCTCGATAATGCCCTATCAAAGGACGCAGCTGCCCGCGGCCCACCGGCTGTACTGTGCTCCGAGTAGTGTATCCAGAGATGAATTTTCAGTGAACTGGACCCCGCACGGAAACGCGAGCGCGCCAGTAGGACCGCTACGTGTGGAAAAACATTCCCGTTGCGATGCGGAACACAAGGCCGAGCTGTAAGGAAGGTCAGCAACCATCAAGTCATGGAACGTTTGAAACAACGGGAGCCTCGACCCGCGTGACCCTCGCCCCCGGCCTTCGCCAGTGCCTCGGGGCCGAACAACGAGCGGGGTTTAATGCGCTCGCACAATGGCGAGCTTCATGACGGGTAAAGCGTCTGCTTCTGACCGGGAGCGCTGGTTCATCCCAGGAAGATTCCAGTGCGTCTACACACACATATACTGTTCCCACAATGTTTAGTCCAAAAAGCGGTAAATTAGGAGGATTTTGTTGTTGCTTCTTTGTATGAGGGTACGTTTTTTTTCCCCCTCACAAAATCGAAATTTCTTTTCCCTCTTTAATTCGCTTTTTTTTTCCCCCCTCATAAAAGTGCAACTTTATGCTCTCATCAAATTGCACCTTTTTTTTTCTTCTTTCATTCCCTTGGCAGACCAAAGACGCCTTATTCACCATCCTGCGGGACCTGCGAGCCGTCGATCACTTCAACTTCATCAGCTTCTCCAACAAGATCAAAGTGTGGCGACCCAGCAGCCTGGTGCCGGTCACCCCGCTTAACATCCAAGACGCCAAGAAGTTCATCTTCACGCTGGTGCCGACTGGAGGTGAGAACATTACCTGCCCTGGACAATATTATATCACACATGCAAGTGTGTGGGAGGGGTCAAACTATTCCAAAATGGTGGATTTTGCCACATTTTTTTTGAGTATGTCGTGTGCGCCCCGCAGGCACCAACATCGACGGCGCCATCCAGAGCGGCTCGGCCCTGCTCCGCGAGTACCTCTCGGGTCCCCACGTAGGCCCCAACAGCGTCTCGCTCATCATCTTCTTGACAGACGGCCGGCCGACAGTCGGCGAATCGCAATCGGCGGCCATCCTGGGGAACACCCGCTCCGCTGTGCTGGACAAGTTTTGCGTCTTCACCATCGGCATCGGCAACGACGTGGACTACAACCTTTTGGAGCGCATGTCTCTGGAAAACTGCGGCGTGATGAGGCGCATCCGCGAGGAGGCCGACGCCAGCGTCATGCTCAAAGGGTGAGACGGAAGAAACTTGAATGAAAACAAAATGGGCGCACAGAGAAGTCACCGTTAAGTGTTGGCAGTTGTTACTCCCCCCGCTTTTTCAAATCGTCTTTTATCGCGCTTCATCGGGACAAAGAGCGGCAATGACAGCAGCGCTCTTTAAGCACCCGGAGAGTCTGCGAGCTGTCCGTTCGTATTTCTCGCTCTTTTCTTCCTGACCGCCTGCTTTCGGACTGGCCGGCCCGCGAGATATTTGCACAGCGGCGCGAGGAATGCGCGCATGTTGTGTACCGGCGTCTGAGCATGCTCGGAGATAATAGGCCTCGCGCGTCTTGAGCAAACACGGCTTTGGGCTTCTTTACGGCGGCGTGACGAGGGCAGGATGCAGGACTTAGGGTTGTCTTTTATGGAGGTGAATAAACTCTTGAGCGGGGTGACAGGTTGCCTTAAGAGCGCAGACAAGCGGATTTGGAAGGCGGAAGAAAAGGCGGGTGTGCTTGATTCCCGGACAAGAACCGGATGACGAGTCGAAGTTGATTTAGTTTTGACAATCTTAAGAATTTGGGAGGTTTTTGCACAGTAGTAGAAACTTCTGGAAAACCATTTTATTGCTGTCTCTTTGTCCCATGTCCAGGTTCTATGAGGAGATCGGCACTCCGCTGCTGTCGGACATCAGAATCAACTACACGCCGGGCTCTGTGGACCACGTGACACAGCACCTCTTCGCCAACTACTTCAACGGTTCTGAGATGGTTGTCGCCGGCAAGCTGAGCGACACGAGCTCCGCGTCTCTCCGCGTTCAGGTCACGGCCAGCAACAACGACAAGACGGTCATCCTGGAGACTGACGTGCCACTGCGGCACCGGGAGTCTGAGACCGAGAAGCACGTCAAGGCAGCGGCGGCGAGAATTCCTGGAGCGGGGGACGCTTTAAAACGGCTCGCGGCGGACTTGGTGCAGCGCGTGTGGGGATTCGTGACGGTCAAAGAGGAGCTTCGGTCACGTCTCTGTAGCCGAACCAGCCGGGAGAGGGAAGAGCACGTTCAGCGGGCCACAAACCTCTCCCTGGCATACCACTTCCTCACCCCCGTCACCAAAATGCTGGTGGACAAGCCCGAGGTCTTGGCGGACGGCACAATGGCGCAAATGCCCGCCGTTGACGAGCCGGCCTCGTCGCCAGCCAACGAAGTGCCGGATGACATCGAGATGGCAACGTTACACAGAGAAGCTGATAGACAGAGTTTGACTCTCAGTAACAACTTAAGAGGTAAAATTCAGTCTCTATTTCACCGCATTGAGATTCGCAGATTTTTTTTTTCCCAAACGGAGTTGTGGCCAAGAGGCAACACCACAACCCAAGAAATTTCATACAAATTTACAACCAAACACAATCAATACACGGTATAGATAACATATATCAATCTAACTATCGATCTCGTAAAAAGAAGAGGGCCAAGAATAGACCCTTGTGGCACACCCTACACTATAACCTGCGAGACTGAATTTGGCCTCATGTAAACGTGTGAATGTCATTGTTCAGCGCCCTGCTGGAGAAGAGCAAGTTGTGCAACAGTTCCGAACCATTGAGCAGTTTGGCTTTCTCCTGTTGCGCTATGATGATGCTTAGTGAAGGCAATGAAACCAGCACTTCTCTTCTTCACAGGTCAAGTTGAGAGGAGACCCGCCAAGAAGTCTGTAACCATCTCCAAAACATCAGGTGACGCCACATTGTCAACATTGAAGCTCCTTAGGAGGGTTTCAAAGCGTGGGGGGTTAATACAGTATACATGGCTTTGCATGTGCAGCCTGTCATTTGTCGGTGCAGTCTGCAGAACAAACACGGTCTGGAAGAGAGGCAGGGGGGCTAATTTGTGAGCAGCCGGTGGGAAAGCAGCGGAGAGGTTTTGTTCACAGTTAAGACAAAGAGGAAGCAGCCTCACGGGCCTGTTATTACACTCGCTCTCTCTTCATGACACTCTTCGTCTCGGTGGTTTCTCATCAATTATGTGGTGACAGAACCGCGAGACCGCGATCTCTCATTTGAGGTAGACCGAGGACGTGGACCGTCGTCTTCTCCGTGGATGAAATGTACTGAGCGCTGCCGTTTGCCTCCATGTGTCCCAGCGGACGGCGATCCTCACTTTGTGGTGGACTTTCCTGTCAGCAAGACGGCCGTCTGCTTCAACATCAACGGCGAGCCCGGTCGTGTCCTCCGCCTGCTTTCCGATCACAAATTCTCCGGTAGGTAAAAAGACGGCGGGCCACGGTGTCTCAGTGATCGACCGACCTATGATGCAGATTGACAGACAAGACGGGACAATTCAATGCTCATCCGCTGGATGGCGCCAGGCACAATGAACCTGGTGCAATTTGGACCACAGTTGATGTTGCAATACACCAGAGGGGTCTTGCCCTCCTGAGGGCGAAGGTCATATTTGTCAACTACGGCCATGTGAAGCCCTCTGAGACTGTTTATTATGAAGAGCGATAGAAATAAACATGACTCGCTTCGACATGACTTGAGTCTTATGATGAAAGACATAAATTGCATGGAAATGAACAAATGAATACCGCACGTTCGGCAAGTGACGCCGACGGTGC